TGAGGACACAAAAGCGACCAAAATAAATATTTGTACCAACGAATGATCAATGAAAGCGTCCTTTCAGAATAATAGCTTACTTGTTCATGTTTAAAACGTAGGAATTATTGTTCATATACTTATTTTCCCACAGGTTACGCTTAATTCATTATGCAGTTGCAAGAATGATATACCATCTTAACCAGGTAACGTACCGTTTACAGATATTCTATTTCACTTCTTAGACTGTCTCCTCTTACGTAAGTCTCCTCAGATTCTGTTCAGATGTACCCAACTCTTCGCTCTCAGTATCAAAACGATACGATAATTCGGCAGGGTGTTGAAACCTTCCACGATTTATATCCCATGAGTATTATTTCTCTTCGCATTAAGTAGGCGTTGTGCTCTATGAACGTTTTCAGAATACACCGCTCATCTTACCAGCGACAGATATTGCGCGTGTCTTAACAGCTACGGAGTGCAGGTCTCGTGAGTTATATAAATCCTGTCAAGTTGTCGGTTGTGAGTTGGTTTGAAGAATCCAAATGACTGATTGAGTATACAACAAACGTAAACAACTAAAGGGATACGTAGTTGCTAAGATATTCCGAATGGAAGGTTCGTCTTTAACCGTTTTACCTGTGACGTATCGTATTGAAAGGGGATGTGCCCAAATAATTTTCTTCTGGTCAATTTCTGGATCCCCATATTAGTTGGTACATGTTTGATGTATTTGATGTTAATAATAATAATGATATGCAACATTTACATAGCGTCCTATATAATTTGTAAAACTACTCTAAAGCGCTTTATAGCATATGGATAATAGTATTAGTTATAATTGTTAACCAAAAAGGCTTACAATCACCATTTTACATTAAGCAAGAAGATAATCATTTCAATGTGCACATAAAATAATAAATAAATGGTGGTATGTACATGACGTCTGTGCAAAAAGCCTAAAAATGCAGACGTGAAGAGGTGGGTTCGTAAATAAACCCATGTCAAACCCAACTCGCTCGTCAAAACACAATGAGTTTATCCAGAAGAAAGGTACTAATTAATATTGTTTATGTTTAAGTGTTTGATTGATGAATGATACTAGCGAGAAAACAATTGCTGGTACATTCTATTATGATACAACGTTAGGCTTTGTGGTCGACGGATATGTTTTGTTTACATATTTCCTATGGAAACTTTGTAGACGTAAGATTGTTTGTGGAAACTTTTACATCACAATTATGTGTGTTAATAATTACCGTGGTGTTTATCTTGTTAGTCGCCTCGGTAAGATTTTTACCTCTATTCTTAATCAAAGGCTTAATGAATTTAACAGAAGTTATTGTAAGATTTCTGACGCTCAATTTGGTTTTAAAAATAATATTTATACTTTTGATGTCATTTTTACACTGCATTTTTTAATAAGAAAAACACTTAGGAAACGAAAAAGGCTGTATTGCTGTTTTGTTGATTATAGAAAGGCATTTGATTTCGTGAAGCGTCAAAAATGATGGTACAAATTGTTAAGAGAAGGTATTGATGGTAAATATTAACTATAATAAAATCTTTATATGAAACAGTTAAGTGTGAAGTATGAAGGAAAATTGTCAAACTTCTTCACTTGTAAAAACGGATTATTCCAGGGATAAATTATGTCGCCAATTTTATTTTCCTTATATGTAAATAATTGTGAAATGCACTTTTTAGAAAATTGTCTATCTATTAAAATACAGTTACTCAATTTGTTCCTGATAATGTACGCTGATGACAAGGTAATTGTTTCAGAAACTCCTGAAGGTCTTCAAAAGATGCTAGATTATCTTTCAAATTATACTAATAAGTGGGATTTAACAGTGAATAGTGATATAACTAAAGTGATTGTTTTTAGAAATGGTGGTAAATTGAGTGACAATGAATACTGAACATATAATGGGGTCCATTTAGACATTGTACATGAAGATGAGTTTAATTACCGTGGCATTTTATTGAATTATAACGTCAAGTTTCGTAAAACGCAACAAAAAGTAGCAGAACAAGGTCGTAAAGCATTGTTTGCAGTAACAATAGTGTGTAAGAAATATTACTTTAATTTTGAAACGATGTTGTCGGTATTCGATAAATATGTCGCAAGCATTTTAAGCTATTGGTCTGAAATATGGGGAAGTCATAAGGCAATATGTATAGAAAAGTTACATTTAAGTTTCTGTAAAACTCTATTTGGTGTTCGTAAAACTAGTCCAAATTCTATGATATATTTTGAATTAGGAACATACCCAATGAAAATTAGTCGGAAGTTAAGAATGTTTAAGTATTTGGATAAAATTGCGTAATACAGATAATTGTATACTTCAGACATGTTATGAAGACATATCTGACTGTGAAGATTTTTGGCTTATGAGTATAAAACATGAATTGTTTAGGATCGGATTGGGATATTTTGGGGAATTGAAAGACATACAAGATGATTTAGTGCTAATTTTTAAAGAAAGAATCACGGATATTTTCAAACAGGAATGTTTCTAATAAATTAACACTTTTTCTAAATGTAATCTCTACAAATATCTCTGTGATGAGTTTGATTTACAAAGTTACTCAAAAAGTCTATTGATATTCAACACTTGAAGGAGTTAGTAAGGATTAGAACATCTTCTCATAAACTTAATGTAGAAACTGGTTGATACCAAGGTATTGAACACAGGAACAGGGTTTGTTCGTGATGTGCCTTTAATTTCATTTTGTTCTTAAATGTCCATTTTATTTTTAAATGTCCATTTTATTCCGATTTACGCAATTCATTTATTAAAACTTTCTATATCAGACATACAAGTATGTATAAATTCATTAAGTTGTTATCCACCGAAAATAAAACAGAAATAACTAATTTGGCCAAATATGTAAGAATCGCTAGTAGAAGACGACAAAATGTACTGAATTAAGTCAATTATATCTAGTGTTTGTCACTAATACATGTACATTAGCATGTCCCTATCATCAAATATTATTCTATTATTTAGTACATTATTTTTAGCTGTACAAGAAAACTCTAGGAGTAGGTGCGGAAGTGGTGTGTATGTGTGTGGTTGTTTAATTGTTTACTTTATGTTGCGCTGTATATATGCACAACTGATGAGCTGTAAAGCTTAAGGAAATACATGCACTTGAACGTGTATTTGTATATTAGTGTTTCGGCAAAAAAGCTGTTTAGCAGAAAAGTTAATAGTTCAACTTTAACACGGTAGGGGCTGATGTATACGTTGTCAGAATACAAAATACTGCCCTGGCTGCTTTCGAAATGGTATTACAGTGAGGTATCATTCTGAGGGTTACGGTGTACTGGCCTCTTTGTAATAGCGCAGATCTGATTCCGACTTTATAGTTCTACCTCACTGGAATACCATGCCGAAGACACCCAGCACAGCATTCCGCCCTGTCACATTATACTGACAACGGGTGGACAAGTTGTTGCCATTACACTAAATGCTGAACGTTAAGCAGGAAATAACAACTACCATTTTTAAGGACTTTGGTATGTCCCATTGCCTTTCCAACCTGGGCGAACGTCCCACAGCAAAATGCCAAAATGATAGTATTACTTTTCAGATGACAGCTACATAAAGTACTAGACTTTTTTCTGTAAGTATTTAACTTTCAAACGTCGAATCCTCTACAAAACCATTCTAAAAAGTTCGCATGCAAAATAGGAAGATTGCACCAAAGCCATCAGTGTGATATAATGTATATGTAATAAGATTAGTATGTGGAAGGTTTCGCAGCCATTCAGCGTCTATGGTATCCGTCTTTGATTCAAGATCAGGCCAACACGTTGTGTCTTTCCTGTAACCCTGCCTATCCTTATTGTTTTGTGTGTGCTTATTCTAAACATTTTTTTTTGCAGCTTTCTTTGACGCCTATCTAAGTCAAGAATAACTTCTTCTTAAAAAGTTTTGAAAATATTGAAAATGGAATGTATTACCTACCTACAATATTTCCAGAAATGTAACGGAAAACAAACCTATAAGTTTAGGCCTCGGCAGTCAAACGTTTACATAAAAAAAAAACATAAGTTAATTTGAAATTTATCGAATGTAAGAAAAGAAGATCTAGGTTACAAATCAGACAAATTTGCGACCGTACTAGTCTCGGGCAGCTGGTCAATAGCTTTGAACTTTAAATAGCATTAAACTTGACTTGACATATTCTCAATAAGAGGAGGAAATATGCTCCATTTTAACATCCATGGATAACGTATCAAAGGACGAACCATGTATATAAAACGTACAAGATGCATTAGTTTTGATATAAATTAATGGCAAATCAGTTGAACAGTTTTAGCTTATTTTAGTCGGAACAACAGTTAAGTTCTTTTAGCGCCTAAGAATCTTCATGGAAGGCAAAAGGAGAGTGAATATCTGAAAGGCAGATCGAAGTCTAGACTAATGACAAACCCATTGCTTTACATTCACATATCGTTTTCCACAAGAAAGAATTATCGATGCGAAGAGGCTGATCTTTCCCGACTAAAACCGGTAAAAGTGTGGATACACCTGTCCAGGGTAAGAGAAAATGGGTTCTGTGCCCAGACCGAGACATACCAAAGTCCTTAAAAGTGGTAGTGGTTATTCGCTATGTAACAACTGGTTCACCCTTTGTCAGTATAATGTGACCGGGCGAAATGCTGTGCTGGGTGCCTTCGGCATGGTATTTCTGTGAGATAGCACTATAAAGTCGGCATGAGATGCGAGTTATTACAAGGAGGCAATATAACCAACATACCCTGTCTCCGGCACAAGTAATCGCATGCACACATTCATAATACAAACAGAGTCACGTCCTTCAATGACCTTAGCTGTTGATAGGACGTTAAACAAAGTGAAATCAAACCAAATCATTAGAGGAGTCCGCTCATACGGTGATACAGTAGAATTTGGTAGACTTTATACCTGATTTCCTATTTCCGCGTGTAGCTAGACAAAGCCAACTGGAATGAAAATATACAATGAAGAAAACAAGATAATTTTTAATATTTGGGTTTTATTGCTTTTGATTATTTTAACGAAAATTATACTCTTTTACAAACATCATAACAATATATAGAATATCACACTACCTACACTATAAACACCAACAATAACATCAGTGTATTTTTTAGGCGTGTATCAATTGGATCTTAATATACCACGTGATCTTTCCTAATACAGACATTGTGTTGTAAATAATGTCATTCGTCCTGTCTACATAATATAGTGACTCATTTATAACTTATCGTCTTTTTGCATTTTGGCGAAAATATGCCAAGCATCAAAACGAAATGACGAAACAAACTAAAGAAGAAAGAAGAACTCCACCGGTGCGAAATAACGAAAAGCGAAAATCCGTTTAAATCGAAATGACGTCAAAACGTGTACAGATAAATATTGCCTTTACTCCCTCAGGTTTCCATGCTTTATGTGTTTCGCTTTGTCGCTTGTCGTCTTTTCGCGGACGACAACGCCGAAGGCGAAATGCCATATATGAGTCACCATAACATATACAATATTGGAAGTGTGTTTGATTTCATTGGTTGTTAAAGTAGAGAATACCTGCGTTCTGTGTTGTAATCGGATTTGTTTCTCTGAATTGAAATCACTTGCTTAGTCACTGCAGCATAAAAATCCCCGCCGTCGCGATCTATTTCGGGACCTTTTGATAATAAAACTGTGCAACTAGTCGTGATATTTGTAATTGTACTTACAATAGCTGCAATATCTGTAGTAGTGTTTAAGTGACGTAACTCAAATGAATTATACACAAATTATACGTGCCTCTGTTTATATAGGAAACTGTATCAACTGGAGGGACTCACTCCGTTAATCATAACACAGAACAAAACATGACATAAATTCCGAGTAAGTAGGGAAGCTGAGTTGGTTTACGACAATGCGACAGATTTTGATTTTATAATTGAGTTTGATTGTTTGACATAGTTGAGTCTGGTTTTATAAAAGTAAAACAGCTGGCTCTGAATACAGTAACTGAGTTTGAGTTCAGGGAATGACTCTGAGTACAGTGATTGAATTTGAGTACATAGATTACTGCGAGTTCAATGATTGAATTTGAGTAGTGATTGACTCTGAGTATAGTTTTTGACTCTGCGTACAATTGTTGACTCTGAGTACAGGGAATGACTCTGAGTACAATGATTGAATTTGAGTAGTGATTGACTCTGAGTATAGTTTTTGACTCTGAGTACAGTTGTTGACTCTTAGTACAGTGATTGATGGGAGTACAATGATTGAATTTGAATAGTGATTGACTCTGAGTATAGTTTTTGACTCTGCGTACAATTGTTGACTCTGAGTACAGTGATTGATGGGAGTACAATGATTGAATTTGAGTAGTGATTGACTCTGAGCATAGTATTTGACTCTGCGTACAATTGTTGACTCTGAGTACAGTGATTGAGTTTGAGTTCAGTTATTGAGTCTGGGTACAGTGATTGAGTTTGAGTTCAGTTATTGACTCAGAGTACAGTTTTTGACTCTGAGTACAGTGATTGAGTTTGAGTGCATTTTTTGACTCTGCGTACAGTTATTGACTCTGAGTACATTAACTGAGTTTTAGTTCAGTAATTGAGTCTGAGTGCATTAACTGAGTTAGAGTTCAGTAATTGACTCTGAGTGCATTAACTGAGTTAGAGTTCAGTAATTGACTTTGAGTGCATTAACTGAGTTTGAGTTCAGTAATTGACTCTGAAAACTGTGTACAGTTGCTCAGTCATACAGACGTCGTTATTTCAACAAACCTCACATATTTTAGATTGAGACAAACTTTAACTATAACATAATTTCAAGACCTACTACAAATTTGAATCAACCATTATATTGTTGCCGCTATTTGCTGTGAGTAGAGGAAGTTGACGTAGCTCGTGATAGCAGCTGAAAACATATTGCATTGCCGTTTAATTATGGTGTTCTTTGGCTATAATTTGAAGTTCATGTTAACGAGTGATGCCAGTCATAACGTAATTTAGTGAAATCAGTATTTGTACAAATTCTGAAACTTGGATTTGTTAAACATGGAGGTTATTTGTGATCAAACGAGCACGACTATATAACATTCTTGTCTTTCTAGCACTGCTTAAGGGGAAATAGCTCCAAGAAAAGTAATAATTTGTATGTACTGATACAGCATCACGTACAGCGTGATTTTCTGTGGTCCCTGCAGTGTGACGATAACATGACAGTAAATTGATACCAATACGCTGCACTGCAAACACTAGCTTTCTATAGATACATATATCACGTTAAATGTTGGTACATCACGTGACACACTGGTACACCACGTGACACTAGTACATCACGTGTCACTCTGATGTAACTCACACCTTATCAGTTACACATTTACAACACGACAGTTCAAATTCGTCTGTTTACGCTGCTGGCTTGGGGTTGTTTAACTCCGTCACTTTCTCGGCGAGCTGTTTTTGACTCATCAATTGTTCATTGTTAGGGTTACTGAGAACGCTTCGTATAGTCTTTATGTCTTCGTGCATGTCCCCAAACGTTCTCCTACCCATTAACTACAACACAAAATATTAGGTTTTATTAAACATGACGATCAGAATGCCAATGCATTCCTCCAAGTTAAGGTCAATGACTGACCAATAAACGTTCTCGTAACTTCATAAATAAACTCTCAGAAAAATGACATCCTAAACTAAGTGATTGACAAATTGCATTTGCTGTAACATCATAAATAAATTGATTGACCAATGACAATAGCTGTAACATCATAAATAAATTGATTGACCAATGATATTTGGTGTAACATAATAAATAAATTGATTGACCAATGATATTTGCTGTAACATCATAAATAAAATGATTATACACGAATTGACTGATCATCATATACAATGTTACTACCCAATGAAATAATCTGTGACATGATAAAAAATAAGAAGAATTATGTATTTCAAACTATCTAGCTTGATTTGTATAAATAGATTACAAACTCGATAAGATATCAGCATTTCCTTTTGTTCGCCAAAACACCCCTGCACTCCAGGAATGTAGAACAGAATACACCTGATGATGCCCTTGCATGCTTTAAATGAAAACAATTTGGAAACAATTGGAAGAGAAAATCTTTTTAATTATTTTTTTCCAAAAACGGTCTGCGCTCTTCCATCCTGGTCAGAAGGTCGGAAAACTTAATCAATTTCATGATTTTTTTTTAAAAATAAGTGAAATTCCTTTTTTATAAAACCATTTATGTATATTAACAACTATATGTGTACCTACCACGTCTTTATGGCCTGGTCTGACGTCATCCAGCCATGTGTACGGTCTGGATCTGTTCAGTCTGCAAATGACAAAATGGTATAACATATATTAATAAAACTAGAAAATGTCTGTAAGACATGAATGCCCCCGTCCCACGGACAAGGGTAAAACACTATATGCCCCCTCTCCCAGTTTATGGCGGGGCACAACAAAAATGTAGCTAATGTGGGAGAGCGTAAAAATCCGCGAATTTCATCATAAGGGGAAAATTAACGCCTACAATATTCGGAAAAGAAACAGAAAAAATCGAACCATGCGAAAATTCTCCTACGTATGAAATAAGTATTAATTTCTGTACATGCTGTTCACCATTGTGACGTCAGAAACGTAAATTTGCTTACAAGTTTGGTCCTTTGAGGTAGATTTAGCTACGCGCAATAGCAAACGTCTATCTTGGCCCCCCTGCAGAATCAGTGTTTTTCGTCCGTGTTCCCTACGAAGGGGACATGGAAGAGACCATCATTGATCATGCTGCTCCTAGCGCAGACTTTGGTTCTTTATAGTTTCCTATCTTTTATGTCTTCTGTCTTTTTTCTATATTATTTCTGTTTCAGATAGTGAAACCGTAGGCTCCCGTCCTTATATGACCCTGGCTGTTGTGTCTCCCTAGGCTCCTATCCTTATATGACCCTGGCTGTTGTGTCTCAAGGCCCCCGTCCTTATATGACCCTGGCTGTTGTGTCTCCCTAGGCTCCTATCCTTATATGGCCCTGGCTGTTGTGTCTCAAGGCCCCCGTCCTTATATGACCCTGGCTGTTGTGTCTCAAGGCCCCCGTCCTTATATGACCCTGGCTGTTGTGTCCCCTTAGGCTCCCGTCCTTATATGACCCTGGCTGTTGTGTCTCCCTAAGCCCCTATCCTTATATGACCCTGGCTGTTGTGTCTCAAGGCACCCGTCCTGATATGACCCTGGCTGCTGTGTCTCAAGGCACCCGTCCTTATATGACCCTGTCTGTTGTGTCTCAAGGCCCCCGTCCTTATATGACCCTGTCTGTTGTGTCTCAAGGCCCCCGTCCTTATATGACCCTGGCTGTTGTGTCTCAAGGCTCCCGTCCTTATATGACCCTGACTGTTGTGTCTCTCAAGGCACCTGTCCTTATGTGACCCTGACTGTTGTCTCCCTAGCCACCCGTCCTTATATGACCCTGGTTGTTGTGTCCCCCTAGGCTCTCGTCCTTGTATGACCCTGGCTGTTGTGTCCCCCTAGGCTCCCATCCTTTTATGACCCTGGCTGTTGTGTTCCCCTAGGCTCCCGTCCTTATATGACCCTGGCTGTTGTGTCCCCCTAGGCTCCCGTCCTTATATGACCCTGGCTGTTGTGTCCCCCTAGGCTCCCGTCCTTTTATGACCCTGGCTGTTGTGTCCCCCTAGGCTCCCGTCCTTATATGACCCTGGCTGTTGTCTCTCCCTAGGCACCCGTCCTTATATGACACTGGCTGTTGTGTCTCCCTAGGTTACCATGCTTATATGACCCTTGCTGTTGTGTCCCCCTAGACTCCCGTCCTTATATGACCCTGGCTGTTGTGTTTCCCTAGGCTACCATCCTTATATGACCCTGGCTGTTGTGTCTCATAGCAACCGTTCTTATTTGATCCTGGCTGTTGTGTCTCCCTAGGCTACCATCCTTATATGACCCTGGCTGTTGTGTCTCCCTAGGCTACCATCCTTATATGACCCTTGCTGTTGTGTCCCCCTAGACTCCCGTCCTTATATGACCCTGGCTGTTGTGT